AACCYGGCACCATGGATTCGGTCCGTTCCGGACCGTTCGGACAACTGTTCAGACCCGATAACTATGTTTTTGGACAGAGCGGAGCAGGTACTATAAACATCTAGTGTACCAAAACATTTTAATTCAATTTTATTCACATTAAAAAAATGATTGCTTTCAGGTAACAATTGGGCTAAAGGTCATTACACGGAAGGCGCCGAGTTGGTGGACTCTGTCATGGATGTAGTACGCCGGGAGGCCGAAAACTGCGATTGTCTGCAAGGATTCCAATTAGCTCACTCTTTGGGTGGTGGAACAGGATCCGGTATGGGTACACTGTTGATATCGAAAATCCGAGAGGAATATCCCGACCGCATAATGAACACGTTCAGTGTAGTTCCATCTCCGAAGGTATCGGACACCGTGGTGGAACCCTATAACGCCACACTGTCTGTTCACCAGTTGGTGGAAAACACGGATGAAACGTTCTGTATCGACAACGAAGCATTGTACGATATTTGTTTTAGGACGCTGAAATTGACGTCTCCGACGTACGGTGATCTTAATCATTTGGTCTCCGTGAGTTGTCCTTCTTGATATTTTAATGTTAATAAATGCCATCCACTGAATAAAAATATTACAGTTGACATTATCACGTTGTAGGTAACTATGTCTGGGGTGACGACGTGTCTTCGGTTTCCCGGTCAGTTAAACGCTGATTTGAGAAAGTTAGCTGTCAACATGGTCCCATTCCCGAGGTTACATTTCTTCATGCCTGGATTCGCTCCACTTACAGCTAGGGGTAGTCAGTCTTACAGAGCACTTTCGGTTCCCGAACTCACACAACAAGTGCGTAATTTTTACATCGGAAAGTGCTAATGCTAAATGCCGATATATGTGTTTTATCGTTTATTTTTGTATACGAAAGATGTTTGACGCCAAGAACATGATGACAGCTTGCGATCCTAGACACGGGCGTTACCTAACAGTAGCCGCCATTTTTAGAGGAATTATGTCTATGAAAGAAGTCGACGAACAAATGTTGAACATTCAGAATAAGAACTCGGGGTACGTATACCCATATAATAAATAAAACTAATATTTACCAATAACTTTATTATTACCTACCGGTAACTTGGTATTATGGGATGATAAATAATAACAACCATGATGAATTTTGTTAAGATATTTCGTGGAATGGATACCCAATAACGTTAAAGTCGCCGTATGCGACATACCGCCCCGAGGCCTTAAGATGTCGGCAACGTTTATTGGTAATACTACCGCTATCCAAGAAATATTCAAACGCATCTCCGAACAGTTTACAGCCATGTTCCGCCGTAAAGCATTCTTGCATTGGTACACTGGTGAGGGAATGGATGAAATGGAATTCACCGAAGCCGAATCCAATATGAACGATTTAGTATCAGAATACCAGCAATACCAGGTACCATGAATCGTTAAATTATTATTTTATATCTAATCTTTAATGAAAACGTTAAGTGGTCAGTTAAGTGGTACATCTGTACCTCATACAAAATTCGCATGCAGAAAAATTAATTTTTATCTTCTTAGTTTCAATACCTAATGTAGTGAATCATATATATTTATTATGCTTATTGAGCTTGAAATTATTTTTACTACAACGAAAAAAATATTTAAAGTTTACAGCGCATATTTTTGAATTCGYATTTAGTGATTTTGTGGTTTTAAGAGTACATCTCTAAATTTTACTATTTTAAAAGAATATTTCAAAGCAATTTTGATATCTATTGATGAATAATTATTGACACAACAAAGATTAGTGTAGCGGTTTTTTGTACAAATGTGTGCTTCAAGCCTGTCCGTACTTTTTCATTTTATTGTTATTTTCTATTTATGGCGTATTGTGATTTATGATAATAGTATAATCGCAGAATAATATATTAAATTATTAAATTTAATCTATTCTGTGGAATAATATTATTCATTTTAATATTCCATAGCAACCAGTAACCAGTAATATAAATATAAAATAAAATAGAACATAATATTAACCGGATTATCATCAGTAACGCAACTAGACACTTGGAAGCCAAGCCATCAGCAAATAAAAATTCTTTCCTTAGTCATTAATTTCATAAAATTAAAAACAATTCTATAAGTCACAGTGTATAACAATTATAAAACACTAAAAAACTGTAGGTATACTGTCTCAATGCCATGCAAATTATTATACTATAAAACTTTTACTTTGATTAACAACTATGACTGTCGGTTGTCGACGAGTAACTATAATCCACACTTAATTATTAAAACAATTTAATTCTGACAAATTTATTAACTAATAGCCAAATAGGTATACCGCATATGCGAGTATAATGGTAGACGGTAGTTGTTAATGAATAACGAAAATATTGAATATTAATCGTCCTCCGCCCCTAAGTTATGCCCCGATGATATTCTACGAAGAAAATTGGATATTTAAAACATAATTATTGGTACCCGTTTACTATCTTGTATGTATCACTCATAACGTAATATACTAATATAACTATACCTTTTAAATTATACGTAGATGTTCAAAAAACAAAAATTTTAATGTGAAAAATAAAAATAAATTTTTATTGTTAGTCCTTTGAGCAGCTAATATCTGTATTAAGGGGGCTCTAGAGTTTTACTTTGCCAACTTACCACTTTATCAGGTAGTTGAGCCACTTATTACCATATAATTTATAGTAGGATGTGTATCATCAAATATCTTATAGAATAAATTTATTTAAGGCGATTGGAAGCTGCGATTTTCTGTCTTTGTCTAACACACGTACAAGCGTACAACATAGGATTWTATAGTTATGTTCTTTGTCCGATTATACCGATTGATATAATGAAGCGATAAGAATTCTACAAACATATTTGAATTTGTTAAGTCTTTTTGAGATCGACCTTCCCACATTTTTGATATCCCTCAAAATTCTAAAAATGATAGATTAAAACAGAGTAACTAAAAAATTGACATATTTTAATTTTTGGAGAAGATTAAATTAAAAAATCAAAAATGTGGGAAGATCGATCTCAAGAAGATTTGGTGAAAAATTCAAATCTGTTTTCAGAATTCTTATCGCTTCATTAGGTATATCGATCGGTATAATCGGTCATATAGAACATGTCTATAATCCCATGTTGTTCGTGTGTTAGACAAAGATAGAAAATCGCAACTTCCAATCCCCCGCCCTTAATAATTTTAGTGCAGTGTGATGAATTAAAAAAAAAAAAATAAGACGCTGAGAGATGGCTCGGTGGCAGTACTAATCTATAGACATATTCTTTAATATAACTTGTGTAGGTACGATACGTATGATTGTTATAAAATAAAATATGAATAAAAATATTTTTTCTTATGACTGCTCCCATAGTGTTTATAATTGTGTAAATTGGACATGCAGCTACAAAAGGCCGGACCCCTTGATGTATATTACTAAATAATATATATATTATATATAATTAATAATTATTGTCGGTAAATACCGAAAACTGTACCTATAACATGAAAATTATCTTCAATATGGTTTACATGTTTTTCTCTAAATCAGGGGCGTCAAATTTTGTTAAATATTTAAAACAACGTTTCATATTTTTGTCCGCAGGAAGCGACAGCCGAAGAAGTCGAATTTGACGACGAAGAAGTTGTCGAAGAGGTCGATGACAACAAAGATTACTGAGTATTGTGAACTGAATATTATGTACATTATGACGGTTATTCAACTTATGAATTATTTATGTTGTACGTTGACTATATTGAGTTTTAATGTTTATAAACTCTTATTGCATTTGTTAAATGTTGATTGATATGTGTCGTTAGTAATTTAAAACGTTTATTAAACGAATGCTGTGTTCGAATAATAATTACATATTTTAATTCTGTTTTCTGTAACGCCGTGGGCCAAATCCCTACCTATATAATAATATACCATCATCACACATGCATAATTTTTGTACGGTGTAAAATTATATACCTACTTTTAMATTTGCGTATTCAGGTAATTTTCGGCCGACATGRTGGAATTTCGTTTCCTTTTTTTAATTCGATGACTTTTTAAGCGACACTACATGTTATGTTGAATTTCCGGTTCAGTCGATTTACCGAAGTTTTACGTGGTGAGCTGCCGCTAATCAAAAAACATCAACTTATCGATACTGGTCAATATTTATTTACAGTGGTAAAATATTTAAATGTTTATCAATTATTCCTACTGATAAAATGTTCAAAATGTGGAAGATTTTGTTTCTGTGAAAAGCGTCTAAGAGATCTTCACAGCTCACCGTAAAATGTTATAATTTATGGTGAACACACAGTCCTAGTAGGATTGAACTATACGGCGTAGTTTAAGCGGTACCTATAGGCTATAGGAATAGGAAAGGATTTTGGAACAAAAAATATGGTTAGCCTGTTAGCCACTATATAACCAATTCACAATTGACTTCGATCAATCACAGTTTTAGAATATTTTAACCAGTCTGCCGTCTCAACAACAAACTGGACCGGATTTAATGCAGCTACTGCCCTATAGGTAGGYTAGGTTATAACCATCATAAAATGATGGCAAAATAAGTTTTTTGATTTAGTGACCAATTCAATTATTTGAAGAAAAAAATATTTTGTAAATGTTGAGTTCAATTACAACATCATGATTCATGAGTAACAAACCCAAAAAATAAAAATAAATTGTTGGTATGATATCAAAACGTACTTTATAATTACACTCTCTTCTAGTTTTAGACTAACAATTTAGCTCTTAAATGGTACTCAAAATCAAAAAACTGCTTTTCTGGCCATGTTTTATGTAAYGTCTGTTCTTTTTGCCAGTTATAATAAAAATAACTTACGAAATCATACCAACAAGGTATTATATGAATGTAAAATATTTAACAATATTATTTTATTTATAAAATTGTAAAACATAATTAGTTTTACAGCTTATTTTGATGAACTTAATTTTTTATTGTCACATACTTGTAAAAAATTTTTAATTCATAGCTGACCAAATTTTTTTCCGATAAAATCAAATAACTGAGTTGTTTATAACTTGTTTTGCATTTTATTTATGGTTTTAATTGTGAGGCTTGTTTATATATTACAGCACCAGGATCAAGTATGTTATAAATCACAGTTTTTTTAGCAGCAGCAATTGTATTATGCATTAACATTGCCACTGTCATTGGACCAACTCCTCCGGGGACAGGTGTTATGTATCCTGCTACTTCTTTAACTTTTTCAAAGTCAACATCACCCACTAGATATGATTTAGATGTTTTCGGATCTTCCACCCTGGTTATTCCTACATCAATTATGGCTGCTCCTGGTTTAACCATATCAGCACGAATTAAATTCGGAACACCTAATTGATTAATACATACACCCAGTTTATTTCAAAAAACATTTTTAAGTATTATAACCAAGGCTCGGAACTTTATGCGCTATAAATTACTCAAATATGCGCATACATATGCGTTAAAATCATCAAAATATGCGGTATAATATGTAGTAAAAAAAATGGAAAATATGCAAAAATATGCAATTTATTGAACAAAATACATTTTACATGCAAAATTGTAAACATAATTGTTCACAAATTACCTACGATTTACAATATATATTTCATATCATGGTACAAAATATTAATGCAGTGGTAAATGTTGATAAAAATAAATACAGGCCGGTCGGCGGTCACTATTACCTACGAGTTCTCAGTAGTATAGAGATAATATTATTGTTGAGTGCTTGGGAGCAATACAGTAATAGCCATTGATGAATTAATTTATTTTGTCAAATTATATTAAATTTAGAATTTCGGTTGTCATATATCTAATATTTTTTTGTTTAAATATAAATTTCTAAAAAAAAAAAAATTGTTTTCGTTAAATCTATGAAATATACATAAAAATGTTCATGAACCTAAAATATGCGTATTYGTACAATAAATAACGAAATATGTAAAATTATGCAACAAAAAATTTTGTATTTAAATTATACGTACAATGAATCGAATTTGCATCGAATCAGAATTTTAATATGCACTTTCTAGACAAATATGCAAATGCCTAAAGTTCCGAGCCTTGATTATAACTAAATATATTACCTGCTGCTGATACAATAATATCAGCTGTTTTAGTAAATAAAGCTAGTTGATCTGGTGGAGTATATCGATGGCATATTGTTGTTGTTGCATCCATTGCTGATGTCTCACCTTAATATAAGATTTAAAATAAATTACATCATATATTTAGCATAATTAACTTTAATTTATGATTTATTTATACAATATAAATAGTAATTATACATAGGTAGTCTTTTTTGATTTTATTATCATGATTTTTTTATAAATGAAAAAAGCAAAGCAAATTTGTCGATTTGTGATTATTAAACCAGGGAAATTATGGTGATTATTTATATAGAATTTTTTTAAATTTGTAAAGATCAGGCAAATAATAATAGTTAATAAAATGTTTTGAAATTATTCAGTGTATAAGTGAGATTAAGGTATGGTACAGTAGGGCTTATATTACATATTTTATGAATAAAAGTGTAAAAAAAATGTCTTATGCATAAGTACTATTAACGACATATTTTTGATTTATATGAGTATCTAACCAGTTTACAAGTTCAATTTTTAATATACCTGCATTATCTGCATGGAGYAACATAGCAATAGGCATACCCACATTTTTTGAYCTTCCACAAACAACGGCATTTTTACCAAGAGTAGAAATTCCTGAAATAATTATTTTTTATTTGAAAATAAAATATACTTTTAAATGTAGCATTTAATCTTACCTGTTCTTCGAATTAACTCATGAACACCCAATGGTGTACATGGTCCCAAACATTGCATATCCAAACAAAATCTTCCAATATTAACAATGTTAAAACCATCAACATCCTTGTGTGGTGCCACAGCATTGCACAAAGTTCGTTCAGTAATATGATCAGGAAGTGGTAACTAAAATTGCATACATGTTAGTGATAAAAAAATCACCCTGTATATTTATTATTATGTTCTAATTACAAACCAAAAAATGTTAGGGATTTTTATTCTAATGAGTAATGGAATATATATTATGTATTTTAGGGGAGTTCAAATTATGTACTATAACAATATTAACAGTATAAAAAATACTCGTATGGCGCTATTGTCCGGATGTACTAACCTAACCTACACCGGAGGTTTATTTGGCAGAATTTCTAATGGGGCACCTGTAGGTTTCTGCCATGCCCCGGAGTGGGGGATGGTGGCACTTGTTCTCCAGACACCSTGACTTGTCCGGAGAAAAATGCTGATGGTCGAGGATCAAACCTGGTCCGGCTGAGCCACAGCCRACGCGTTAGACCGCTCGGCCACCTTGTCCCCCATATTAACAGTAATACATATTTTTTTAAWGTGGTATAGGTGTAAGATCCAAAATTAAAGATTACAATATGCATAATTTTTGAAATAGGCACATCACATGTTGGAGTCTTAAAACAATACAAATGGTTAGTTAATATTTTATGCTTTAAGGAACTATAACTTACCTGGACTAGGATTCCATCAACATTTTCATCATGATTTAAACATTTGATACAAGCAAGAAGCTCATTTTCACTTGTTGATGCGCTGAACTTCATTGTTTTTGTTTCGATACCTAATTAAAATGTCTATTTATAAAAACAAATATTATATAAGTTTTTTATTATATTGCCATTGAAATAGTGTAACAACCAACAACTTTAGCAGCTTTCATTTTGTTTGACACATAAATTTTACTAGCTGGATTTTGTCCAACTAAAACAGCTACTAAATGGGGAGGCCGATTCCCTTTCAAAACCCATTCTTGAGTTTCCAGGCGTAGTTCATTTAATATAGTATTAGCAATACTTTTCCCATCTATAACTGTAGCATTCAATCTAAAAGAATAATATTAGCGTTAAAGGAAAATTTATCAATATACATTCTTTCTTAAAAATTCTGGGCTTGAAAACATTGACAACTAACAATATTAGTTAATAACTCATCCTGTCTACCTTTATAAGACAGTGCGGCAACAATAGTTCTCAGTTATACTTTATACATATGAGTGGTTACTGGTTGACATAAATTATAGGAAAACAATTGTCAGCATCAGACGTAGGCTGGCTGAGATGCTGGGATGCCACAGCATCCCTTGCCCTAAAATATATTTGCCACAATATGTATAAAATAAATGTGCCATATTTATATACATCCAGTAGTATTCTCTCAAGTTAACATATGTGTAATTCAAAGTATATGATGTGGGTACATGACATCATTTTTGTTTTTTAACAATTCAATTACCATCTTAACATACGTTTTCCTAAATAAATTGCTTCATTTCAGGGTATTTGAGGAATGATATGATGGTTTCTGGCTGATATTTGAGTTAAACATGCAAATGCTAACTTTCTAGACGTATTGATAATATACATGGGTAATTTCAAACTAAATAATAATGGCAACCATATAATATTAGCATTAAGGTATTTTGAGTAAAATTTTTAAGGTATACCTATTCAAATACTTTTAGGTGCGTATACTCATAAATTTATTCACCAATACACCACTGATTAGGTATTCATGTGTGAGGTGGGTGTAGCCAATTTTCAGCCAGTTTATTATAATTTCTGCTTTTCTTGTGGCTCATCCATCTTAATTAATTTTCCTTTCATTTTGTATAAATAAAAATAATATTTTTTCACTTAAAACTCCATTCTAACTACTATTAACATGTTTTATTCAGTTAACTTGGTATCTAGTTATATTTTATACATATAATATGATATTTATTTCATTTCACAAATATAGATACATAAATAAATATAACAATATGAATTTGAAATGATGTCTCCAAAATGAATTAAATAATAATATAATATTGTAYAAATTACATTTTTTTTAAACTTGTTATTTTTTACCATAAAATTATATATTATCAAGTGCCCATTTTTACCAGTCTGCGCCTATTCAGCATCAATAGGAGATTGATCATTTTAACAAWTTTTTTATTTTTTATTACTTAACCTCTATTGAGTTAAAAAGCTACATTGAAAATTTGAACTACCTAAGTTATATTATGCATGTATGTATAGAATACAAAACATGAGTMTTTTTTTTTTTATAAAACATAATATTTGTATTATTACTTGTCAAAGAAAGCCAAATATACCAAGATAACTACAACATACTTATATACAATTATAAACAAGAATAGATTGTTTTGCTGAATAATTTACCTGATGCAGGAAGAATGAAATTTTTTTGTAAACAATTTTACACCAGTCCAATACCTGGTATGCATTATAAAATTTTATTTGAAAGTAGGTCAGTGAAAGTATCTATAAAAGAAAAAAATAATTTAAAGCACAAGTCATATAAATGGGCTTTATATTCAAAACTAAATTCTACTTACTTATTAAGCAATTGAGCTGTAACACTTTAAGCTATGAAGTAGGATTTCATATAAATCCAAATACATGTAAATAAAAAAATTATAATTTTATCCCCATTTTCCCAATGATTTACGAATAAATAATTAAAAATGAATAAATGATTATGTTAATTTAAAGATTTATTAAATTAAATTTGAACATAATTAATAAAATAATATGCCAATCAGCACGAACTAAGATAATATTAATCCCTAATTATTAATCAATAATCAATATCTAGGCCACTGGCCACTATTCAGTATTCAGTATTCTTATAGGAAGTTCGAGTTCGTGCCGTTCGTGGCTACTGGCTATCGAATTTGGCTTATCGTAAATAAATCATCGAGTTTTTAAGTTAAATTTTTAAGTTTTTACAGTCAAACAGCTGATCGATTTGTTTTCATTTAGCCGGAGGTTCRGCATGATGTTGTAACCGTATTGTAACGTAAAATCTGTAGTATCAAAGAACAAACATTTAGTTTACCCGCGGCCCAAGTCCTAAGATTTTAGTCCGTGGTTCATACCTATAAAATATAAATATAAATACAGATAACAGATTATAGCCCTGTAGCCTATAATTTACCATTATATTTACAGTTTACTATTAGTTATATACTTTTTTTTTTAAATTACTAATTAGTATTGTAATTTGTTGTAAGTTAGTGTTGGACGTTGGTCAAGACTGCCGGGCGCATCTTTGAGTTAAAATCGTCGTGTTTAATATTATTCGTTTTTAATAAAACATAATTTAAAAATGTAAGCATAATTGTTCAGATTAATACTTTTCATTACATTTATAACAAATGCTACATATTTTTTTATCTTTTACTCATGACTGTATTAATTTATATTTATATAGGGCTGCTGTAGCAAACAAACCAAAGTCTGAGATGACTCCAGAAGAGTTAGCAAAACGTGAAGAAGAAGAATTCACTACAGGCCCAATGTCGGTATTAACCCAATCTGTACGTAATAACACTCAAGTATTGATAAACTGCCGTAACAACAGAAAACTTTTGGCAAGAATCAAAGCATTTGATCGACATTGTAACATGGTATTAGAAAATGTACGAGAAATGTGGACCGAGTTACCTAAAACTGGCAAAGGCAAAAAAAAAGTAAATATTATAGCTTTTGAAATTAGTATAAAAATTAAATTTTATCTATTTATTTCAGGCGAAAGCTGTTAGTCGAGACAAATATATATCTAAAATGTTTCTACGTGGAGATTCGGTTATTTTAGTTGTCAAGAACCCTAAAGAAGCTGTCCGGCAAACACCGCTGGCCCCTTAATATGTATTCCTCCTTTTCATAAATTATATTTAAGATATTTGCATTCAAAATATAAGTTTGATCTTCATTTCCTATAATCTAACTTTAATAATATGTTCTTAAATGTGGCTGAATATTTTTTGAACACATTAAAATTGTTTTTTAGTGTGTCATTTTTACATTGATTTTTTCTTGTCAATTCATTTGAAAAATACTATTAATTATTACATACAAAATCTATCTTATGAAAACAATTATAAAACCAACAAAAATATAATTCAATATATTAAAGATAATGTTACACACGGTCATCTTACCTAACCGTAGTCATGCATAATGGTTTAACTTAAACTGTACTGCAGTAACTACTGGACAAGTTATACAATTAATTGTGACCTTACCTTATTATGTTAAACATTTAAAGATAGCAATCTACAATTATAAATTGATTGCCTAAACTAACACAATAAAACTACGATTAATAAGGAGGAAAATAAATAACCGCTCTACTGTAAAATAGGCATTCAGTGTACCTTGTTAATCATTAAAGACTAAGGAGTRAGTCTAAAGTCACTGTAGTGTTTAATTAAATTTGAATTCAATGATAAATTATTCTGAGCTGAGTGTTAGCCTATGTTACCAAGTATAATTGAATATTTTGTTGATATATTTATATTGCTATTAAAGTAGTACAGGATCTAGTTAAAATTAATTTATWTTGAATATTGCATTTGAAAAAGTCATTATTTGTAAAATCRTGTATGCTTAAGTTTTAAGTCTTCACTCATAACATTTTTGAATTATCTACAGTGAATTGATTAAAATTGCTATCTATTCTTAGTTTTAATATTTGATTCATTCGCATTTAAACTTTAAATGATTAAAAAAAATAATGGATGTATATATTTTAGATTGYCTGTTCTTAGAATAATTTAATGAAGAACCTTGTAATAAATTTRATATTTTTATGAAATAATAACTAAAGAAATACTAAAAATAAATCCAAAATGTAGATAGCTCATAATTTTATGAAAATTGTATCATGTGTGGAAAATGGTCATATTATTAACCTTTAGTGAACAYTTAAGCATTCATTTAATTATACACAAAAAACAAATTACTTTTGTTGAAAACTGGTACTGCAGGTGTAAAAAATAAAAATGTCCACTTTACTTTTAAGATTCTGAACAGAGTGATGAATGTATTGATTTTACAATGATGAGTGTATTTTTTTTTTTGTCTGTACAGCATAACTAGTCGAAATAATGCTTCAATTTCAAACTTTGGGGGATGGTTTCCGATGTAAAAGTGAATATCCTAATAGAGATAGGAAATATTTCTCCTTCCATAAACAAAAAACATTTGCAAAACTTCCATCTCAAAATGTCTGCTCATGAAATGATGACTTTTACACATTTTTTTCCCTTWATGGTCGGGGACTTRGTTCCTGAAAATGATGAAGTTTGGCTATTCTTTTTAAATTTACTCCAAATTATTGACATTCTTTTATCTTACAGTATATCAGAACAAAAAATAATAAGTCTAAAAAATTTAATACAAAATCATAATAGACAATATGTTTTATTATTTCACGATTCATTAAAACCAAAGCACCACATATTGATTCATTGCCCAACCATTATTAGGCAGTTGGGTCCACCGAGGCATTTTTGGTGCTTTAGATTCGAAGCTAAACATAAAGAGCTTAAATTATATGCACACGCTACTTCCTCTCGTAAAAAATATAACTTCTACTTTGAGAAAAAAAATGCAAATGAAATTCGCATATCAACTTTTCCATCCTGCTCCAACTAATTTAATTATTAATCAAACTCACAAAATTAAAAATAATGAATATTTACAATTTATACAAAGTTTAATTTTACCTATTCAATTTAAATGTTATACCCAAGTAGATTACAAAGGAACTTTGTTCAAAGTAGATATGTTTGTCACCAAAGTGATTGAAACGTTAAATCTTTTTAAAATTTTACAAATTATAGTTTCCGATGAAAATAATTGTTTAATTCTTGCCGAAGAATTAAAAGTAAATTATTATCATTCGCATTTTGATGCATATTTATGTTGTTGAAGAAAATTTAACACAACCGGGTAGTT